TCATTACTGCAAATTATGTTCTAATATATAAATTAACTGACCTGGGTATTAAATACATATTCTAAACTTTTAATATAAACCTTTCTACAGATCAAGTTAGTGTACCATGAGCTGAAGGTATAATCATTTTTAGTAAGGGCTCTCTGAGACATGAAAATTATTTCATGGGTTCCTGTGGGGTGAAAAGGCTGCTGTATTGTGCACAAGCTCACTCTCACTCCGGGAAACAGAAATGCATTTGAAAGGCCTTTAGGATAGGAAATCTTTTGCTGGCTCAAATTCCAGATCATTCAATGATGAGAGTACCAACTAGTACATGGATATCAAGCAGGGTAGCCAGCAGAAAAAGGTAAATGTCAGGCCACACAGTTGATGAACTGCATACAACAAGTGCAGTTGAAGTAAAAAAAAAAAAAAAAAAAAAGCACAGATTGCCTTAGAGTACTGACCTTCTCTCTTCCAGTCTCATTACTGCTGAGCAATGGATCATAGGAAACTAATTTGGAGAAAAAAAATGTAGGTACTACAATTAAAATGTGGATTTGTTCTTTTATTCATTATCTGTCTGGAGATAAACTCTAAGCTGGGTTCACACTGATATGGTTTTGGATGTGTTTTAGACAATAATTCACATGACATGGAAAACACAATGAATTCCTACGGAGGTTGTTCACATCTATGCAGTCCACATGCAGTGCTTTTGATAAAGAGTCGTGTGTGTCTTTGGAGCAAGGCGATCTGATTTTGAGGTCCATAGAGACGAATGTAAATTGCAAGTGAAATGGTTATCTGTTCACATCATATGCTATTCCTGTGCATTTTGCCTATTCTCCTATGTGCTATAAAATGGAGAGAAAGATGAGAGAGAGAGAGAGACTTAGGGCAGCCCTCAAAATTTCCATTCGCCTGCTCGCATTTGGCGAGTGGAAATAATATGGGGATGAACCACTGGGCTTGACTCTGGTGGTGGATTAAATCTCTCTCTGTGAGTGGGCGGGCCATGTGAGCTGTGATTGGGCAGCCCGCTGTCGGGATGGCCCCTCTCTCTTGACAGGAGAAATGTGAAGCCTCAGCCAGGAGAGAAGAGCCAAAGCCCTTCCTCCTCTACGCTTCCCTGCCAAGGAGAACACTCTGTTCCAGCTCCACTGTCTGCTGATGTCCCTCACCCTGCTGTGTGCCCTGTGCCCTGGTGTGTACCTTGCTGTGGGCCAAACTGTGTGCCCTGTACCCTGCTGTGTGCTCTGTACCCTTCTGTGTGCCCCGTGCTCTGCTGTGTACCCTGCTGTGTGTCCTGTACCCTGCTGTTTTTGCCCTGTGCCCTGCTGTGTACCCTGCTGTGTGCCCCGTGCCCTGCTCTGTACCTTGCTGTGTGTCCTGCTGTGTGCCGTGTGTCCTGCTGTGTGCCCTGTACCCTGCTGTGTGCCCTGCTCTATGCCTGGTACCATGCTATGTGACCCTGCTGTACCTTGTACCCTGCTGTGTGCCCCGTGCCTTGGTGTGTACCCTTCTGTGTGCCCCCCTGCCCTACTGTGTACCATACTGTGTGCCCTGTATCCTGCTGTGTGCCCTGCTGTGCCATATACCCTGCTGTGTGCCCTGCTGTGTACCCTGCAGTGTGACCTGCTGTGTACCCTGCTGTGTACCCTGCTGTGTGTCCTGTGCCCTGCTGTGTACCCTGATGTGTGCTCTTTACCATTACCATTGAGGCTGTGAGGGGTCTGTCAGTGGAGGGAGGGCGTGATAATTGGGGGGGTTTGTCTGTCATTGGGGGGCTGAAGGAGGACAAAGGATGGATGACATGGTACTGGAGAAGGACGTGGGATGGAGGAGATGGGACTGGAGGAGGAGGACATGGGATGGAAGAGGACATGGGATGGAAGAGGACATGGGATGGAAGAGGACATGGGATGGAAGAGGACATGGGATGGAAGAGGACATGGGATGGAAGAGGACATGGGATGGAGGAGAACACAGGAGATGGGACTGGAGGAAGACATGGGATGGAGGAGATGGTACTGGAGGAGGACGTGGGATGGAGCAGATGAGACTGGAGGAGGAGGACATGGGATGGGAGGAGGTGACACAGGAAGAGGAGGACATGGGATGGAGGAGATGGGACTGGAGAAGGAAGATGACATGGGATGGAGGAGAGGACCTTGAGTGAGGATGACATAGGATGGGGGGGGGGGGAATGGTACTGGAGGAGGATGAGGACATGGGACCGAGAAGGAAGAGAACATTGGACGAAGGAGATTTTTACGTTCCTTTATATTAAAATTGTTAAAGTTGTTGTTAATATTTATTTTTGTAACTTTATGCTGCATAAAACATTTAACAGTGTCATTTCATGAGATAATTTATGAGGACGTGTTTAGGGGTGAATTAGGGGCAGGCCAGGGTAGGGGTTGGGTGGGACAAACGGTGGCAAGTAACTCTTAAGGCCCAGCTACTAGCTCAGAACTTGAAATTCTGAGCCCCGACATGGGTATAAGTCAAAAATCACAACTGTATGAAAATGTTGGAAAAATACGCATTGTTGTACAAACTGAACCACAGCTGAATCTCACCGCAGGTGCTCCTTGAATTGCACTTCAAACCAAAGGAAAGGAATTTGCACCCCTTCAGTGTGAACCTAGCCTAAAAAACAGGGTTTTTCTGTACTTGCATAAAAGCAGTTTTTTTGTAGTTAAAGGACAAAGTATTCAGTTATTCAAATACTACTAGGGCAGCGGTTCTCAACCTGTGGGTCGCGACCCCTTTGGGGGTCGAACGACGCTTTCACAGGGGTCGCCTAAGACCATTGGAAAACACATATTTCCGATGGTCTTAGGAACCGAGACACCGCTCCTCTGTCTGTCTCCAGGTGTGGGCGGGATGACATGCTGCCCCCGTCATCTGGCCACACCCCCGCGATCAATCCTCGCCGTTGATTGGCCGCCGGAACTGTAGCTCAGGAGAGGCACACAGGCGGCCAATCACCGGCGAGGAGGTGGAGCTTGGAGAGGAGGAGCAGAGCAGCACCGCGAAGATCGAGCGAGTGAAGAGGAGCAGAGCGGCCGGAGAAGGAAGACAGCTGTCCGGTAAGTGTCTGTACCATGGGAGAGGGAGGGAGGGAGGGAGCGAGCGAGCCCAGGCTGGAGCAGGGGTCAGCAAGGTAAGTATCATTGGTGTCAGTGGGAGGAATAGTGCCCAATCATTGGTTTCACGAATACCAATGATGGGGCACTATTCCTCCCGCTGACACCAACGATGGGGCACTATTCCTCCCCCCACTGACACCAACGATGAGGCACAATTCCTCCCCCAAATCACACCAACGATGGGGCACTATTCCTCCCCCCACTGACACCAACGATGGGGCACTATTCCTCCCCCCACTGACACCAACGATGGGGCACTATTCCTCCCCCCACTGACACCAACGATGGGGCACTATTCCTCCCACTGGCACCAATGATGGGGCACTATTCCCCCACTGACACCTATGATGGGGCACTATTCCTCCCACTGACACCTATGATGGGGCACTATTCCTCCCACTGGCACCAATGATGGGGCACTATTCCCCCCACTGACACCTATGAGGGGCACTATTCCCCCCACTGACACCAATGATGGGGCACTATTCCTCCCACTGACACCAATGATGGGGCACTATTCCTCCCACTGCCACCAATGATGGGACACTATTCCTCCCACTGACACCAATGATGGGGCACTATTCCTCCCCACTGACACCAATGTTGGGGCGCTATTCCTCCCGCTGACACCAATGTTGGGGCACTATTCCTCCCGCTGACACCAATGTTGGGGCACTATTCCTCCCACTGACACCAATGATGGGGCACTATTCCTCCCACTGACACCAATGATGGGGCACTATTCCTCCCACTGACACCAATGTTGGGGCACTATTCCTCCCACTGACACCAATGATGGGGCACTATTCCTCCCACTGATACCAATGATGGGGCACTATTCCTCCCACTGACACCAATGATGTTGGGGCACTATTCCTCCCACTGACACCAATGTTGGGGCACTCTTCCTCCCACTGACACCAATGTTGGGGCACTATTCCTCCCACTGACACCAATGATGGGGCACTATTCCTCCCACTGACACCAAATGATGGGGCACTATTCCTCCCACTGACACCAATGATGGGGCACTATGCCTCCCACTGGCACCAATGATAGGGCACTATTCCCCCCACTGACACCTATGATGGGGCACTTTTCCCCCACTGACACCAATGATGGGGCACTTTTCCTCCCACTGGCACCAATGATGGGGCACTATTCCTCCCACTGGCACCAATGATGGGGCACTATTCCTCCCACTGACACCAATGTTGGGGCACTATTCCTCCCACTGACACCAATGTTGGGGCACTCTTCCTCCCACTGGCACCAATGATGGGGCACTATGCCTCCCACTGGCACCAATGATAGGGCACTATTCCCCCCACTGACACCTATGATGGGGCACTATTCCTCCACTGGCACCGATGATGGGGCACTATTCCCCCCACTGACACCTATGATGGGGCACTATTCCTCCCCCTGATACCAATGTTGGGGCACTATTCCCCCCCCTGACACCAATGTTGGGGCACTATTCCTCCCACTGACACCAATGTTGGGGCACTATTCCTCCCACTGACACCAATGTTGGGGCACTCTTCCTCCCACTGGCACCAATGATGGGGCACTATTCCCCCCACTGACACCTATGATGGGGCACTATTCCTCCCACTGGCACCAATGATGGGGCACTTTTCCTCCCACTGGCACCAATGATGGGGCACTATTCCTCCCACTGGCACCAATGATGGGGCACTATTCCTCCCACTGACACCAATGATGGGGCACTATTCCTCCCACTGACACCAATGATGGGGCACTATTCCTCCCACTGACACCAATGTGGGGCACTCTTCCTCCCACTGGCACCAATGATGGGGCACTATGCCTCCCACTGGCACCAATGATGGGGCACTATTCCCCCCACTGACACCTATGATGGGGCACTATTCCTCCCACTGGCACCAATGATGGGGCACTATTCCCCCCACTGACACCTATGATGGGGCACTATTTCTCCCCCTGATACCAATGTTGGGGCACTATTCCCCCCCCCTGACACCAATGTTGGGGCACTATTCCTCCCACTGACACCAATGTTGGGGCACTCTTCCTCCCACTGGCACCAATGATGGGGCACTATGCCTCCCACTGGCACCAATGATGGGGCACTATTCCCCCACTGACACCTATGATGGGGCACTATTCCACCCACTGGCACCAATGATGGGGCACTATTCCCCCACTGGCACCAATGATGGGGCACTATTTCCCCCACTGACACCTATGATGGGGCACTATTCCCCCACTGACACCAATGATGGGGCACTATTCCTCCCACTGATACCAATGATGGGGCACTATTCCTCCCACTGACACCAATGATGGGGCACTATTCCTCCCCCTGACACCAATGTTGGGGCACTATTCCCCCCCTGACACCAATGTTGGGGCACTATTCCCCCCCCCACTGACACCAATGATGGGGCACTATTCCCCCCACTGACACCTATGATGGGGCACTATTCCCCCCACTGACACCAATGATGGGGCACTATTCCCCCCACTGGCACCAATGATGTTGCACTATTTCCCCCACTGACAGCTATGATGGGGCACTATTCCCCCCCACTGACACCAATGTTGGGGCACTATTCCCCCCACTGACACACCAATGTTGGGGCACTATTCCTCCCCCTGATACCAATGTTGGGGCACTATTCCTCCCATTGACATCAGTGATGGGACACTATTCCTCCCACTGACACCAATGATGTGGCACTACTCCTCCCACTGCAAAATTACAGTTATGAAGTAGCAACGAAAATAATTTTATGGTTGGGGGTCACCACAACATGAGGAACTGTATTAAGGGGTCGCGGCATTAGGAAGGTTGAGAACCACTGTACTAGGGTATAATGCTGCCTTGAGGAGGAACTGGAAACTGGTAAACAAAAAAACTTTTGCGCAGATAGGTGTAACCACTCCTACTCCCATCATGCTTCAGTTTTGTAGAAAAAGAGTATTAGGAGTAGATCACAAAACACAGAAGGATGGACTTGTTTCCCTTAATTAACTCCAACAGACAGATTTTTTTACAAGCAAAAAAAGAGGAATTTTGACTTACTTTTAAATTCCATATCTTGAAATACAGCACAGGACGCAGGCAGAGTACAGGTTATAGGCGTGTACCTTCAGGTGTATGGACATCGGCAAAGCTTTAGAGGACATGCCCCCTGGGCATCTTCCTTATAACCCTATCCCACTTTGTGAAGTTGGCCATAGGTGGAACTTTTTTTTGCCATTCGATCACATTTCAGTCTATCTATGGCCAGCTTTGATGCTGAAATGCCTAGGAAACTCCCACTGATCTGGTGGAATAGGCCCGTAAAAGTGCAGGATGAGATTTTTCTTTAAGAATGTAAGCTCTTATGATCAGATTCCTTATACATCCTGCAATGGTGGACTTTGATGCAGGGATAAAAAAAAACAGGTAGTCTGTCTGATTGGAGTAATAGTTTTGAGGTATATTCCAGTGGCTCTGACCATATCCAGGTAGCATAGAAATATTTATTTTGGATGCTTAGGAGCAGGGCATAAGGATGTTGGGAAAATGTCTAAGTTGGAATCCTGAAACCACCTTTCGAAACCTTGGGTGTAAGGCAAGCCATAGATGAATTGACTCCCTTTCCTTCTACTATGGGTGGAAAGAAAGAAAGTTGCTATGATTTCACGGATTGCGTTGATGGCGAAATGCCTGCCGCTGAGCTATTATGTTCTGGGGGAAGAGGGGGCATGGGTAGCATTCCTAGCTGGGAGAACACAATGATTACTGCTAGCGGCTATAGCCTGGGGCAGTAATTGCGTGCTAAAAATCTGACCGGCTGGTTGTACCAAAGTCGATCAATGGATCAACTCTAGTACAATCAGCCTGTCCATAGATGGATTAAATCCTGAGTGGTCCCTGCTGAACCTGCCGAGGTTTGTTCAATGACCAGCTTCAGACAACCTTGTTATTGTTAAGTATGAGGAAGGGCTCTTTACAGGAAAATATGCCAGTTCAGAAGCATGTCTAACAGATGTTATGGCAACCAAAAAGAGTTTTTAGCAGAAGAGACTCTCTAGGGAAATATCCCTGATAGGTTCAAAGAGTGGTTTCTGCAGGGAAGAGAGAACCAAGTTAAGAGGAAGGAAGTACGAGATGCTGCAAGGGAAGCTTAAGACGAGATATACCTTGAAGAAAGGTTCTTACAAAGAAAATGAAGCCAGAGGCCTTTGAAAGCAAATGGGCAATGCCAAGACTTGTCGTTTCAAAGAGCTTAAAGACAAATTTTGGTCCAGATGTATTTGTAGGGAGGCCAGAGGGGGGATTGAATTGTTCACATCAGGCAAAAAAAGGATTTTCAGATACAATAAGAGCTTTCTGGAGGAGGTTTTTCTTGATTCTAACAAAACAATCACAAACTTCGAATCCACTCTATACTTAAAGACCTGGGTTTCAAACAGCCATTCCATTAAACCAAAGAGTGATAAGCAAAAATGGAATAGAGGGCCTTAAAGCAGCAGATCTGGCCTGTTGGAAAGAAGCCAGGGGTTGCCTGCTAAAAGTCTGCCTGTAAGAGTGTGTCTGTGTACTTGGTTCTTCTGGCCCACTTTGGTGCAATTAGGTTTACAGTTTTCCTTTCTTGCTCTATTCTGGAGCCGCTAAGGTAGAATTTTCACTGGAGAGAAGGCATGAATTAGCCTAAACTCAGACCAGGGAATTATTAAGGCTTCTGAGGCAAGAGCTAGAGGATCTCTAGTTCTGGCAACAAACAGAAGTAGTTTTTTTTTTCAGATTAAAAATATCTGGATAAAGGGCCCATTTCCCTTGATTCAGGTGGTGGCAATCTGCTTTTCAGTTGTCCACTCCTGGGAAGTGGTACTCCCTTGATGGTTGATGTAGGCCACAGCATTGTCTGACTGCATCCTGACTGATTGCCCCTTTAGAATGGGGGTCCACTTCACCACAGATTCTGCAATTGTCCATTGGTCTGTACATTCTGGAACCAACTTTTGAACTTTGTGCTTTTCATCACTACTCTTCAGTTACCTAGAGACCCACTGCTTCTTCTTTTTGGCAACTTGGAAGTTTCAGTGTCTGCTGCCCCACACCGCCATCTTGCTTTGTTCAGAGCAGCCAAACCATGGCTATCCATTTGCTTGATGGCGGCGAGAAGGTCTATTTTGAAAAAATGGGTCTCCACCTCTCCGCCTACCATCTCGGACGTCAAAATGGAACTTAACTTTCTACTTCGATTGGATCGGCTCGGCATGCATTTAGCTCCTTCTACAACAGGAGTGGAAAAGTTAAACCGCAAGTGGGGTCAATATGTTTCAAAAGTACTCCCTACTTTGGAGCCCCAGCACCCCTCTCATGGATTTTTAAACTAGACATAAGCTAGTTTCTAGGATATTCCTGATGCATGGTGTTATTACCGTCTAAGGGGACAACTGACTCTTATTTTATTAATGCTGTGTTCTTCTCAGAAATCTCCTTTTCTGTTTATGCTGTGCCCTCCTCTCATTTCGGCGCCCCGGCCTTTCATTCTCTCTCTTATCTTCCTTGCTGACCTATGTGAAGTGGTCCCCTTCTAGCTCACCTTCATACATACTGATGCGCTGCTCCTCACTACACCATACTATATGACTACTCTATCAGTCTATTACTTCCCCGCCCTAATCTCTATATCCTAGCATGTTCTCATGGTCTTCTGGCCTCAGACTCCTGGCACGTGACTGCTTGTTCTCTATTTCTCCTTCTTCCTTTCCCTGATGGCATATTCTCTATATGCTGGCCTTTTCAGCTCCTTCGTCTTACTTTCTTACTGTTCTATCTCTACCCTATCTTTTACACTTCCTTTTTATTTCTTACTCTTATGCACGATGACCTCCCTGTTGGTCGTTATGACAAATGGTCAACATTGCTCACATCGCTTATTCTTTTTGCTCTTACGTTTGATTACATTACGTATACGTGACTCTTCTACATCTAGCATATTTAAACTTTAAGCCCTTGTACCCTGTTACATTACATGTTCTATATTTTTCTCATAGAAACTCTTCTCTTTCTAAACTTTTCTAATCCTTCTCTGATTCGTTCGGGGCTTCTGTAACAAGTTTATGAGTATAATTGTTATCCTGGAATTTGTTCACCTGATTTGGCATGTTGCCACGCTATGATTACTGACATACCTCATCGTTAGTTATTTTGTGTGCACAATAAAACCCAATAAAGTCTCTTTAAAAAAAAAAAAAAAAAAAAGAATGGGGGTCCAGTGCTGTAGGATCACCCAGACTGTTGATGGGGAGCTTGGTTTCCCCTGGTGACCATATTCCTTAGACTGTTAGTGACCCCTCCCCAGTCTGAGAGACAGTTGTGATAACCCTCCAGTGGTAGGAAAGAAAGGGTTGGTTGCAGGGGCGGACTGACAACTCATGGGGCCCCCGGGAAATAGGGGATCATGGGGCCCCTGTGTCCTTGCCCAAACTAAAAAAAGCCTATGAAAAAGGTACCAGGGCATCTCATGGGGTCCCCTACTGACCCCGGGCCCTCGGGCAGTGCCCGAGTTTCCAAATGGTCAGTCCGCCCCTGGTTGGTTGTGGTGATCCACCAAGACGGAATTCTTTGCTTGGCTGGACAGGAGCATGGTTAAATTGAGAGAAGGAGACTGATTTTTCCATGTCAACAAAATGTTGAGATGGAGAGTTCTTGAATAGAACTGGGCAAATGATACTGCCTCAAAGGAGGCTACCTTTAGGCCTAGAACTCTCATGGAGAATCTCATTGTGTGGTGTCTCATGGGTCTCTATTTTGAACTTTCTTTTCTGGAGAAAGAATTTTGATTTGGAAGTGTCCAGCACCAGACATAAGTATTCCAAGCAAAGTAAATGCTGGTGAGCAGATTTGTTAAAATTGATTACCAGCCAGAAGCTTGGCATATCTGAATTGTACTGAAGATATTTTCTGATAGGGAGATAAGTCCTTTAGCAGAAGGTAGAAAATAGCACATGACTTGGATGCCCTGAGTTCTTAGAAGGCTTTTGTGAACACTCTGGGAGTAGATGATAGGCCGAAGGGCAGTGGGAAAAACTGCAAGTACTGCTACTTGTCTGCTACTGCAAAGTGCAAAAAGCGCTGAAGGGGAACATGGAGATAGGCATCTTGGATGTCCATGGATGCCATGCATTTCCCTTCAGGGAGGCAATTGCGGACCTTGCAGATTACATGCAAAATTTTGGAAT